ATTCTGAGATCTTATGTTGTCCTGATTAAATAGAAAACTTGAGATTATACAATCTGTGTTATGCAACAACCATCCAAACCACACTTATTCAGTACCCTTTAACTCCCTGTAGTGTGAATTAAAGCGATGCTTTTAACATGTGTTTGAAGTCCACTGATTACAGGACACTAAAACACTGATAATGCAGTTTCATTCCGCCATGATTACTTTCACCACTTTAGGCTATTGTGTAGCCTTGATTTGTTTTTCCCTCTAACCGCCACATTCCTTTCTCGGATTTGTCATCACTTAACCATCTGCTTCATTCTCATTTTGTTCCTTTTCTTTGTAGCAATTATAATGCAGCGAGTTCAGGCGGAGCTGTTTCAGCAAGTCTCTTCACTGCAGAGCGATGGTCGGGTGAGTCAAGTTGCACCAACTCACAAATGCAAAGTCTTCTTTGTGAACGTGGACATTCTGGCATAAATATTGGAATCACATAGACTGACATGACAAAACAAAGTCACTGTAACCACTGACGTGATGGGAGTAGTGTAATTAAAGCGATTAACAAAGAAAATGATGTTGTGATACTGCGCCTGTTTAAATGAGGTTTTATTAGTGATCTTTTCCACATAGACATCATAATTTGATCGGGTTATAAATAAAAAGCCACCCAAACGCCACGTATCCTGATTAACATTCCTCTGTGTTTGCAGATGGATGGCAGGGTGAGTTATGGCAACGACGCTCTGATGCCTGATCAGGCCTACAGCTCGGCTCCTATGGACCCTGGCCTGGATGGGCTGGGGTTCATTCACCCTGAGAGCTTCAATCAGCCCAACACAGAGAACCATGGTAACACACACTACATTTTGTGACATAAATTGAATTTTATTAACTTTTAAAAAATGTGGTTTGATATTGAATATTTTTGTTACACGCTGTATTTCTGTAGTTGAACCCGTCGATGCTCGTCCAATTCCAGACAGAGGACTCCCCACACGGCCTGGTATGTATGTGAAGTCCAAACGGAAACACAAGTACATACTTACATCCTCACTCGTATACATTTACTGCATATTAAGGACAGGTTTCAAAATTCAGGTCGTTTCTAACATTGCACTTGCCAGACCTCATGCTAAGAGTCAGTCGAAACAGCAGCACAGGTGCAACTTGTGCTCCTCTTAAGCAGATGAGAGAAGGAGACTGAAGAGAGAAACCTCAGGGAGTATGAACATAATATAACACTGGCTATATTCAGTTTCACTCAATTCCTGTTATTTAATAAGCACCAGTTCAACAACAGTTATTATAAGGTGCTTTATACTATATGAAAAAGAGCCTAATATATTAGAGAGAATCCCCTGTGAGGACACACATGATGAAGAGACCTCTGGCAGAACCAGGCTAAAGGAGGGGGAAGCGTTCTGGCACGATTGGTTTGGGGATGAGGGAAATGAGAGGAGGAAGAAGAGTGGCGTCTAAAAGCATCGGGAGTGAAAAGCTAACCTTAAATGAGTGATTTTAAACTGTTAGTTGGAGAGCTGAAAGACAGCAATAAGTTATTACAGTTTCCTGAGTCTTTATAATTCCACTAAAGCTTTCAGGCTTTCTTTAATATTAGGTTGTAGCCTTTTTGATCCTTTTGGGAAAAAAACCATTTAGTGTTTGATAGAGAAGTGTCTCATAGATAAACATAAGTGAGCTCCATAACGGCAGCGACATCATCACCAAGAATCGGAGCACCACAGTGTGACAGGAGACTCACACCTAATGATGGTGGGATCATGAGGTGAGAAGAATATCTGAGAAATTTTAAAAAAGGTGGTACCCTGTACTCCTGACATTATGGTAGTAACTCATATTTCCCATAAAGAGGGTGAGACAGAGTAGACCGTGACTCACATGCTGTGGTGCTGATTGTGGTTTTGCAGTCTTACTGCACACATGTTCTCATAACACTAAACACACACAAACAAGATACTGGGCAGTAAAGTGATTGAAATACTCTACAATGTTACATTAATAAGTGGTGTGCATATGTCCATATCAGTGTGCTGTTGTAATCCTTTCCTGTAAATGATTTGTATTTGAATCACACGCAAGTTTTCTATCAGTTGCTGTTGGTGAAGGATTAATGATTATAATTGGATAATAGCAGTTGACACTTATGCCAAATAAAAACATCTCAAAATTACAAGGCAGGTCTATATCCAGTTTCGAGATTCATTTGAGATGTGGTTGGCTCCTGGGTTTCGATGAGACTCTTTTAAGTGTCCTTTGATCCACCAAAAATTGTTCAACTACTTGATAGATTAATACGGGGGCAAATAATCCCACGTACTCTGAGGACTTTACAGGAATCCACAGTGTCAAATGAAATCACCTCCTCCCGCTGTTTGTGTATTAAAAGACAGTTTGGGGTTTTATTTCACCTCTAAATGTCTTTCTACTGCTTCATTTCCTATAAGACTAAGGATAAGAATCTTTTTTTTTTTTTTTTTTTAAATCCCAGAGGGAAATTCATATGTCTTAAATAGCTCATCTGCTATTTGGATGAGAATTAAAAGGTCGATGGCTGTGGGTGCAAATGATTTTCTGTTTCTCTCTGTTTTAGGAGAGATGCAGAAATCCATGTGCTCGATTTCTGGGATTAATTTGGGTGATTGATTCTGTGGTTTCAGTGTCTGCCCTGAAGCCGGAGGAGATGCCAGAAGTGCGGATGGACACTGAAGAGAGGCAGAGTGCTGGATATGAAGTTTATCATGAAAAACTGGTAGGAAAACCCAGCAAACCCAGTCATCAAATATCATCTCCTTCAGGGATTTATGACTGACTTACTATTATTATTTTCTTTAATGTCAGGTGTTTTTCGCTAATGACGCTGGATCCAATAAAGGCGCCATTATCGGGCTGATGGTTGGTGGGGTGGTCATAGCAACAGTCATTGTCATTACCTTGGTGATGCTGAGGAAGAAACAGTACACTTCAATTCACCACGGCGTGATCGAGGTAAAAGGCTCACCAGTTTGTGCTCATAGATCAAACACGGTTCGCGTGTTAGTAACTCCTCATCCTCTTGTCCAAAGGTGGATGCAGCTGTGACGCCAGAGGAGCGTCACCTGGCCAAGATGCAGCAGAACGGCTACGAGAATCCCACCTACAAATTCTTCGAGCAGATGCAGAACTAAAAAGCTGCACAACAACATTTCCCCCACAGTGTCAGCCTGCGCTCTGTTCCATTCAGCTCCTTTGCCCTCAGCCCCAGCACCTTCAGCGCCCTGTTCAGGAGGTGAAGGGTGCGAGGATGACTGCATAGCCTGGTTTGTGTCTTTGAAAGTAAGGAAAGGAGACATTTTTGTCAGGGGTTTGGGCCAAAGAAAACTGATATGGAACAAAGCCTCCTTAAATCCCTTGATTGTACAGAGCTAAGCATTACCCAGCAGCCCGGTTAGACAAAGGTATCCTGTTACACCTACACATTTCAGTCAGCCCCTGGAGTTCTCATAGCATTTGTACTGGAAAACCCCTCGTCGACTGTTTATACGACATCACGGCAGTAAGACACCCACAGCCGAAACTTGTAATTTACCAATTACTCCCTCACTGCTCCTCAAACCGGTCCGACGAGAGCTCTCAGAGCGACCCGTCGCACGAATAGTGTTTCAGGTTTATTTTTCAAAAAATGAGAAAAAAATGAAGAAAAAAATACATAAATATATACAATCAAAAATATGTAAAAGCAGGAAAAACATTTTTTTTTTAAACGTGTAATATATTAAGACAGAGATTAGCTGTAAGTATATGTAGTGCATGGCAATATTGATGACTGATTAAAAGTATACTGTATGTGAAGGTCCTCAGGACGAGGAGGGGAAGGGGGGGGGGCCTCTCCCTAGATATTTTAGAAGGATTGTACATTTCTGGCGTCTTCTTTGTGACATGAAGAAAAAAACGAGTATTCAGAATCCGGTCTGCTTTGTCGTCACAGACTTGCTTTAACTGAATCTTGGCTCTTTATTGCTCATCTCCATGCTTCACTGTTGTGTTAGCTGCATGGGCAGAAAAAAAAGCTCTATGTATGTAATATATGAAGTGTAATAGTATCCGAAAGGAAGATGATTGTGTTACTTGTTTGCGTTCTATGCACTCTTGTCATTTTTGGGAGTTTTGATTATTGCCACCAAATATTGCTGTTACAGTCTCTGATGCCAACTGTCGCTGCACTTTGGATTTTTCTTAGAAAGAGGCTCGAGGTTCAAACCTTTTAAGATGGAAAGTTTTTATGAAAGCCTATCATTCCACTGTCTTTGCTGTAAATAATTCAGATGACGACACCTTCCTTCACTTCCATTCCCACTTCCAGTCATTTCTTTCCCAACCCCCCTTCCCTCATGTTTATCCTCTCCTTCTTGCTGTGTCAGCAATATTGTACATTGCGGCACTTTGGGACGTCGTATGTGAGCATTTCATAAATAGGACTGTTTGGGCGTGGGGAAATCAGACATTTTCTCCTCTCTGGACACATTCCTCCACCAAATGTCACATTCTATTTTTCTACATCACCAATGTATACGTGTACAGCGCTTCTGTTTGTCCTGTGCTCAATATTTCAGCTCCTGTCGAATCTGTAACTTATTAGGAGGAAACATGGCCCTCTCTCTAAATTATTAACCATGAATGTGACATATTGTGCATTTCTATGAGAAATACAACACATATCGCCTGCACATTGCACCCACACGTGGATAGACACTGACTGAAGCTCTTAATCAGGCAAATGTTTCAATTTGTATTGATGCTCACTCTGGGTATCTTTGGAGCCTAGTGATGAAACAAACTCTTTGTCCCTCTGCTCATTGATTCAGTGACCTTTCTCTGTGTGTAGTTAAATGAACAATTTGCTTAGAAAAAGCTTTCTACACTCACTATACCATCAATAAAATTTTGAATGTACATAGAAGCATTTGGGTGTCTGTCAATGTGAGTCTTAAAAAGAGAAACTTCTCACACAGCTATTAAGAAAATGCTTGCCACTTTATTCCCCCAGTGGACAAAAAGGGTCCAATAATTCAGGGAACAAACACTAAATAAAATACAAAACGGGTCCTCTATAAATGGAAAATATGAAAATACACTTGCCCTTGTGGCTATCAAAAACATGAAATACCGGTATATACAGTGGAAATGGTCCTAACTACAGACAAGGAACACACAACACAAAGCTCTTAACTGGATTTTTCAGTCACACTCAAGCATTCAATGACATGCACGCAACAATCAGTAATCAGAAAGACATTCTCCCTTCATCCTGAACACTCTTCTCTTGGTTAGAGTAACAGAAAAGCTAAAAAAAAACTTCACCTGTCTCAGTCTAACTTGAATCAAACTGTAAAGACAATAATAAAGGTGGTAATCCACGCTGATCAGAGACCAGCTTTGCATTTCTGTGTCTGAGAGACGTTTTTTATCAGCAGTGGAGCGCACGTTTTGTCCGCAACACCTGACAAGCGCTATAATGTGACGACCTTCAGCTGTCCTTGTCTAGCGTCGTGGTGGCCAGGGTCACTGTAGTGATCGGCTGCCCGATGCCGTGCATCTGCATGCGAGCCAGTTTCTTCTGCTCGCACTCGGTCACCAGGCTGTTGAGCTCAGCAGCGCTGTAGCCAATCAGAGTCCTCAGGTCACACACAAACTTGTAGACAAAGCGCTTTCCCTGCACCTTGCAGATCATGTCCCCGTCGTAGTAGTATCTGAATGAAAATACAAAACTCAGAATCACACCAAAGTATATCAACTGATGAGAGACAACAGATATGCAGATGGCTTTCAACAAATGAATAATGGACAATACATCAGTGTATCCGTTCTTTTATATTACAGCAGCTTTACATTTTAAAATATCAGAATAATCAGGTTTGTTCTAAGTTCTCTTAGTAGCAGAAAGAACCTCTCTTCTTCCTCTTCATATCCTCCTATCTTGGATCGTCACTCCTGCCTACAGGCCATCACTACTAGGGTGACAGTCAATCAGCTAAATATCAATGGCAATAAAACTTATCCTGACTTCACAAAATAAACCATTTTGTTGTCTCTAAAGATGGTTGTCAGGTCCACACTTCCCAAAGCGTCAAAAGTCTTAAAGTCATCTTGAACAATACTCTTTATCGTCCACATCACATTCGGCCTACTACCACCCACTTAAGATTTCTAGACTTCTTTCTCAGCACAGCACTCAAGTCCTGGTTGCCTCCCATTTGGATTCCTGCAATACCACTCTCTCTGGTCTCCCAGAAAATCTCCTTAATCAGCTCCAGACGGTACAGAACTCTGACCATATTACAGCCATTCTCATCCAGCTTCATTGGCTCCCTATTCCTCAGCATATCCAATGCAAGATTTTCCTTCTCGGTGACTTGGCAGCCCCATATCTTTCAGACCTCCTTCATCCTTACACCCCTTCCCTTTGCTCAGCTTGAGCTGCTCTCCTGCTGAGCGATGAGTGCCAGAGCCTTTAGGTGTGATGCACTTTGTCTTTGGAATTTACTTCCACTTCACTTTTATCGCCTAAATTCTTTGACACAGTTCAAATCGCACCTCAAAACCCTGCTATAACTAAGCTACGACCATTTCATTTATAAAGTGGGCATGTTGCACTACATGTATAAAGGCTCATTTACACCATGGTGCCCTGCTCTCAAAAACCTGACAGATGTCACGCTGTCTGTGAAGCTGGATTTAAGATAAGTGTTTAAAGTTTTGAGCGCCATCTTGTGTCAGTACAGAATGTGTCATCTCCAGGTTAATTGGTTAATTACTGCTAATAGACTTACAGTAGTTTATTTTAGCTAACTAATAAAAAACCCCAAAAAAACCCAATAACTCAGTCAGAAAAAAGGGCACTGAAACTGAAAATAAGGGGATCACTCTTCTGCTGTCCCTGGCTGCAACAATGACATTTTTGTTAAGAAATCAAGGCTCTACTGTCCACTTTCACTCTGTCTCTTAAGCAGTAAGTGGTTCTCCGTTGTTTGGCTAGCTACACTGACAGGAAAATCCTCCTTTTAGCTGTAATGTTCAGGCTTGCAAAGGGTGTGTTTGAAGGGCGCCAAAAAATAAAATGTACTATTGTTTTTATTATTGTTATTACCACATAAGGGAAACAGTCAGCATCATCGGCCTACTACTGGAAATATTCTGTTTTAAGAAGACTGCTGTCTGCGTCTGCAGGAGGAAGCCTTGCTAACTTGCAGCTACACTCTAAATCGACTTTGTACTGGAAAGTTGGCAGCATGTTTAAAGTCAATCTCACTGCACCAGACATTTGTCTGCGGTGCCTGTGAGGTAATGGCTTATGTCTGGCTCCAAACTTTAGATAGAGTGCCACAAAAAGTTGCCATTAAACAAAAACACACAAACCTGAGGGCTCGACTGAGCTTCTCATAGTTCATGGTAGGCTTGTTCTTGCGTTGCCCCCATTTCTGTGCCACGAGCTCAGGCTGGTTGAGTTTGAACTCTCCCTCCTCGCCTACCCAGGAGATGCAGTCTCTTGCGTCCTTGTCGGTCAGCAGCTCGAGCAGAAACTGCCACAGCTGGATCTGACCATTGTTACCTGACAACAGAAAAACAACACAAAGTATTTGAAAAAGATTATTCAAATAAAATGTGTGTATCTGTAATAAAAAGACAATTTAACAGCCACAACTGATTAGAACATAACATTAGAAATGGTAATAGGAGTATTTTGTACCATTACTAAATCTGCCAATTCTAAATGTATTCAACTATTTAGTCTAAAATAGCGCATTAAGGAAGGTTTTGTCAGACAAAATGGCTAAAAACGTTGCATTTTCAGTTTGAATGCAAAGCAACATTACTGTCAGATTGTAAATTTAAAAACTAAAACCTAAAATTGGTGACAAAACTATCCCTGAACACTTTTGAAAACTTTCTGACTTTACAAAAAGTGAGTTGCCTAGAGAGCGGCTGTGTGCGTGTGTCCTACCTGTACGGTTCCCAGGTGAGCTGCGCTCCTCCCCTCCTGAAATGCGAGGTGCTCTGGGACCACGGTTCTGTTTCAACACCTTTATAGCAGTGGGTGTGCTCACTTGAGCTGGGATTATCTGCACAGCTGGAGGAACAGATGGGAAAACTCTTCATTAACATGTGTTTTGGATCTGAATCTATTTAATAAATAACTTCCTGTTAAATATATGGATTTTGTCCAGAGTTTAACGAGCAGAACTATGTGGAGGGCATGGTCATGTATAATCAGACAAGATAACCCAAACAACCGAGGGAATTTACAAAGTTTAAACATAGCACAATAAAGTTGATTATCTTTATCTGGACGTTGGTGATGAAATGTCTCTCACTGAAAACACAATGTTCCCTCTAATTTTTCACGTGTCTGAGCGAACACACAAACTCCCTGAGCGGTCCCTTGGACCACTGTGAGCAACAGCAGACTTGTACACTGTGGTCACGCCAGCATCGAATCCATCCAAGTTACATGGTTTATTAAAATAATCAAATTACAGCATTTACATTTATGTTAGACTGGTTTTAATTAACTGCTTTAGCCCACTTACAATGAAAATTAATAAATAAATCTTGTCCATGACCTGTTTAGTATGTTAACACTATTGGAACTCCAATTTTGAAAACAAAATTTTCTTTCCTCTTTTTTTTTTTTTAATAAAGCTGACTTGTATTATGAGTCAGTGGTCTGGGACAGAGTCCTGTAACTCTGTCTGCAAAATACAGTATATAATGACCAATGTTGGGCAATTAATTATATAGTTCTTCAAAAAAGAGTTATGCAAACAAAGTTTTTTGCAGCTGTTTACCTAAAAATGCGGCCAAGGCGGGTTTTTTTTTTTTTTTTTTTAAATAAACATTGCAAACTATTTACAGAACATCGTTCTAATTCCATACGGGAGCAGACAGTCACTTACTGACTAACACTGCAAAAGAGAATTGTCAGAGTATTAATTTTAATTTCAATTCAGGTTAGATTTTATTTTGTGCGCAACGCAGATTTTCTGTGCGCAGAGACCGTGCCAGCAGTGCGCAATTGCGCACACGCGCAGCTTAGAGGGAACATTTGTTCATCACTCATCCATTTGAGTTCTTCAGTGTAAGGTAAACAGTTATTTTAATTGTCTTTTGGATGATTTTTCACGCTAACACTTACGCTGATCAATCGTGACGGTGGCGTCTCCTCCAGACTGGTCCTGGCTGGCCAACACGTCTGAAATTAGCACAAAATATTAGTTTCATTTTGGCATGAAAACACATTTTATTCCATCAGCTGAAACAAACATTTGAGTCAGACCTACATTTGCGAAGGAGTTCCAGGTGACTCCAGAGTATCTCTCCATTGGGCACTTTCTGAAGGAACTCCTCCTGAGTGAAAGTGCAGAGGTCTCGCCCCTGGATGTGAATGCTTCCTATTTCCATCTCATCAATGTTAAACTCTTTCATTACCCACACAGCCCAGTGGATCACCTGATCAGCAGACCAGAGCATAGGGTCTGAGGAGAGAAACCTCACACATTACCAACCGTGTTTGTGTCTTTGTTTGTTAGCACAATAATGATTGTTTTCCACTACAATAAGGTAGTTCATTCAAGTATTCCTCACCGTACGGTATGCCCAGGCGGACTTGCTCTTTCCGGTAGCCTTCGAGAGCTGCGGCCCAACGTGTAACCTGCTCTGAGGTCTCATCAGACAGGGAAGACCGCTCTACAGCAATAAGCTGTCCCTCCTCCACCAGAGCACCCTCTTCCCCTGCTGCATCTGGATCAATCACTACTTCAACTGTTTCTACTGGCTTTACAATCTCCAAGATGTTCAACCTCTCCTCTCCTAGAAACAAAAGTAAAAACAATGCATTTTAAAATGTACTCTCTCTTTACTAACTTGAGTACTTGATATGAAATGTGTCACGCTTTTGGTACCTGGTTTGGTTATTATCTGCAGGCTGAGCTGCACTGTGCCATCGGTCTTTACTCCCTGATCGAAGAGACTGTGATCAGGGTGGAGCTAAGAGGAAAAGAACAGATAAAGCGAGACAGCAGTGAGAAACAGTTCAACCCAGGACCAAACAAAAATCATTTAATCATGAACAGATTATGAAAGGTGTCATTATCTAATTCTTACCTGAATGTCCTGCAAACAAATTTCATAAGCATCCAATGAGATTTGGATACGAGGCTCCAAAAGCTTCTTCAGATTACCAATTGGTTCGTTTATGTCGATATCTTGCTGAATCAAGTCTGACGCAGTGATGGTCTGCTCCTCAACACTACAAATCAAATAACATGAGACAGAAATGTAAAAACACAGCTGCTGCATGAACAAATTAATTGTTTTATTTATGCAATCATCTCTCTCTCACCCTTCTTCCAGGCATGCCTGTTTCTCCCGTTCATCTATCTCGATCTCTATCATCTCTTCTGGCTCACTTTTAGACATTCTGCTGGGAGATAACGTTTTACCAACACGAATATAAAGTGACACATTAAACAAAAATTACTGTCAACCAGATAATCAGCATAAAAGAAAAGAACCAATAAACTCTTAATTAGGTAGCTGGTCACACTACCTAATTAATCACTTAAAAAATGCTAAAATTAAACTAAAACTATAATTAGCTTCTATCCTCCTCCTCACTGTTAAATTAAACAGCTAATTTTAATTAGAAAACCCAAAAATCTATCCAGCACATCAAATTGATGTTTGTAGTGATTATTAATGGCATTCCATCCATCCATCTCCTCTTGCTTATCCAGTTTACGTTCACAGCTGGGCGGGAGTCCAACCCAGGTGATGGTGCTAACCAACACAACACCATGCTGCACTGACTTATCAATGCATGTGCTTTTGTTTTGGGTTTTTTGGAATAACTTTATAACATGAGATGCACCATTATTTTTTTTTCCAAAGTAGGCCTCTGGGGGTCACTACACATGTAAGAAGGACTGGTCCACATATATTTATATGGGGAAAGAGTCTTTGTTACCTTAGTTACTTTTAGACAATCCATAAACAAAAATATATTTTAATCAGAATTTAATTAACCCATTTGTAAAGACTAATATTAATTAAATTTATTTTTAAATCACAAAAATTATATTAAACAGCCAAAGTTGGTGCAAGCAAATTTTGGTTTTGTAAAACAAAATTATAACAAATACAGTATGAAATCATTAAACAAAATTTATCTTTTTAATCAACTAATAAATAAATCAAGTAATATTTTTTACCTAAAATTGTAAAAAAAAATAAATAAAAAAGTTGATTTTTGATAGAACTAATAATCATTTAAAATACTAATTTAAAGTTAAAAAGAACTAAATAAAAGTGGATATTTAATTGATCTTTTATTCTTCTACTAAATTTCTAAACTTACTTTCTTAAAAATATTTAAGTAAAAATAAAGTGAAAATAAACATAAAAGTGGTTGTTTTGATATAGCTTGTAATCTTCTAATAAATTCCTAAAATAAAACATACTTGAAAAACGATATTTAATAGATCTTTTAAACTAATAAATTATTAAACGAATAATTACGTTCTTTAAAAAAGTTTAAAAATAAATATGAAACTAGGTATTAACAGGGCAATATCACTACAATAACACCTTTCTGTTGTAATTTCTTTAATCGAAGTAATACAAACAACTAATACATACTACAGTGTAAATAACAATAACGACTTCACTGTCGTGTAACTTAAAGAGCATACTGTGCCTGTTAAATAAAACAGGGCACTTTGATGGGGGTTTTCTACCATAAAGGCCTCTCAGCCTCGACTCCTCATTGGCCGTCTACAACAGTTCAGTGACTGCTAACGTTAGCCAACTCGAGGGCGAGGCTGTGGCTTCTAAAGGCCAACTAGTAGGCCAGTAGTTACAGAAAATAGTAACCACGTATAACTACACGTCCAAAAAACGTGTTGGAAAAATTCACCAAACTCAAATTTATGCGTTAGGCTACACGTGTACAGTGAAGCAGGCCTACAAAAAACAAGTTAGCTTCAATATAGCAACGCGGGGCGAGGCAGCTGCATTACACAACCATCGAACCCGGCGTGCTAAACAACCGTGAAAATATCCTATAAACTCCGAGTGCTTCGTAACTTCAGCAAATCTTTGTTAAAGCACACTTTAACTCTGCACGTAGAAAACTTTTAAAACGGAAATAGAATAAACGGAAACAAAACAGCATAGGGCAAATGGAAAGGAGCCGGAAATCCTGGCTAAGGTTTTACAGCGTTGCAAGACTTCCGAGAGCAGCGATGATCGATCCAACGACAAGTTTTAGAGGAAAGCGACCGAGATACACTGAAACAACGCTCGTTTAGACGTGTAAATGGATAATAAGGAGAAGAAAGAACTAAAAAAATCTGTTTCACCGCGTATGGAATTATACCCACCCTGAGTTTGTGGTTGGACGGTAATCAGCACCGCGACAGTACGCAGCTTCTCCACTGTGCTGTTAGCAAAACAGCTAACTAGCGACTGCTATAACAACCAACGTTATTTCTATTTTCAAGCCGAAGAGGAAGCAAAAGTCCGAGGGAGCCAGCGTTAGCCTAGCCTTTGTGGAAGTTGGCTAATGTGGGTTTCTGCCTCGTAGGTGGGCGGCCTCTTCCCAGCAGGCTGACTAGGAATCAACAACACGCTAGCTAGGTTAGCTTTGCTGCTTGAGCTACATAAAATAGCGGGAACACCCCAGATACAACAAACGTGACGACGGTGTGGTACATTTTCCTCACAACAAGCATATATGTCTCTGAAATAATCATACCTCTTAAAATTTAGACCTTCAGAGATGTTGATGTTCTATTGTGGAAGATAATCGGCAAAAAAATGCACACAGTCGAGAGATATCATGCAAGTTTTTAGCCAACTACACTCAATCTGAGGAGGGGCGGAGACTAACCGGAGAGACTGTAGTTACCTTAAAGTCTGTGTAGTGGAAAAACCGCCAGCTAAATGTTTCAATAGTAGCTGGACGTGCCTTTCTCAGCTCCAACTTTGTGGCAATTTAGGAACAAATGTCTAGTCCAGATGTATCCTGACTAGATAGCATTAATGGCTAAATAAAACTGCCTTTTAATAGGACCAACTGTAAATATAAAGGTAGTCTCTTGAAAATGTTACCATAAATTTAATCAGTTTTACTGCAACCATGCCCTCCCGTAACTGATTTTTAGTTTTTCTCCTTAATGTATTCTACAGACTGTTTTCAGTACTGAAAAGCATGTGAAAAGCAAAAGTTTTGTACTGGGCTATTTCAAATATTTGCAACAGTTCCTCTGGGCAAAGAAATGAGCTGTGTGCATCCCCACATGATCCTCTATCTCAACTTCTTTTTCCTTTTAGGAGTAGGCTGAATTTTCCGCCTTTGACACACACCACCTCTGTAAAAAGCAGATTTCTACTAAGATTATGTTATTCTCGCATTTTTTTTGGTGTTCTCTTTTCTAACATGTTGGGGTTTTTTGCTTTAAACTTCATTTTAAGTTGCTATTATATTTTTATTTCTGGTTATTCCTACTTTTTATTTTGTACAAAACACTGTGACTGTCTGTTTGTGAAAAGTGCTACATTATAAGTAAATATATAAACTTTTCAGGGTCTAGTTTCAGTTTTTTGTCCATGCCTATATTGATGTGCATTATTATCACTGATGGGATTATAACTAATAGGAAAGCTAAATCATTAAAGTTTTATAGAAAAGCGCTATACAAATACAGGCCATTTACCATTTACTTTGATGGGTATAGACCCTACATGTGTTTTTGCTTTTCTTTTTTTTTCATAAAGGAGCTGCAAACATAATGCAATGGACCAGCCAATCTATCCACTAAACATGTGGTTATGTTTCCTTTTGATTCCCTGTAATGTTTTGACATGTAAAATATAGAGATTACTAAATAAATATCTTCTGATGAAGTCCATAGCATTCATGTTTCCTTATTTTATTTGTAAAACATTGCAAGTCGGTTTTGTGTATCACTTTCATGTATTTCAAGGCGTTGGATGTTGCAGTAATTTATCATTTTGTTTTTTTAATGATGTAATATGAAAATGTAATCAAGAAAGCTAAATCGGTAAATTATTAAACCATTTCTAAGGAAAACAAATACACACACGTACATGTGAACTATTGTTAAATCCTTCATTTAAACAGGTTGATGCACTGAGAATGAGATCTCCTTTTCAAAAACATTTGTGTACAGAAAGAAAAAGAATACAGGGATTCAGATGCAGATCCAATGAAATCAGAGACTTGTTGCTTGTTCCATTTAAATCTAATTTTTGATTTAATAGTAATCAAAGAGTAGAGGTAATCAGGCAATCTTTGCAGTATAACTTTGGAAATAAACATCACACAATGCTACCATCACATCTTTTCATATTATAGCAAGGTTGAATAAGAAAAGATTCTGCTTTGATAAATTACAACTGTGAGACTGAATCAAGAAACTTGAAGATGGATGCAGAAGCATGTATATTAGCAATATTACCATAATAACACAGAGACAAAATTGTGACTTGTAAAGCTATGTGATGACTAATGATTGAAAAACAGAATTTGTTTCAAAATATGAATCCAATCTTTCCTTTTGATTTTCTTCACAGGTGTTCCACATAGGTCTTAAAAATGAGACTAGCATCCAGGCAGAGTCTTAAACATCCATAAGAATCAGTAGTTTCATTTTGTTTCAATATGGACTGGCTGGATACTTTTAAATAAGCATGTGTATAATATAGACCTTATTTTATCAGAATTTAAAACAAGTTTAAGTTGATTAGTGAATTCTGAAATATGTCAACTCTAGATTTGCTAGATTAAGGGTCGAATTAGCTGGATATAAAATAAATAATCAGATGTAAAATCTGTAAGAGTATGGGGCTTTTGTACAAATATAAATGATTTTTCTCTGTTGAGGAATATTTTGGGAGTTTCTAATCTTAAAAAAAGGGGCAAGAAACAAAAGAAACTTTAACTCTTGAGCCACACATAAATAAATAAATTTTAACCGTTCATTGTACAGGGGATAATTTAACTTAATGATGCCACCATTATGCAGTTGAGCACGTTTTACATTTTAAATTTAAAGGACAGTTCCATATGCTGGTAAAAAAATAATTTTACAAAGATACTATGAATGGGTGCCTTATAAACTGTTAATTTTTTTTTATTATTAGCGCAGACAGAGGTTAGGCTTTTACTTTGGAGGCCCTTTACCGGAAATACAATTGTTGACGCTACAAGCGAGCCAAGATGGCGGAGTACCTAGCATCCATTTTTGGGACAGAAAAAGATAAGTAAGTATTTAATGTTAACTTGGTAATTTCAGTATTAATTTTCATCTGTTTATCCTATGGCTACTTTTTGCTGACAGGATTTGGTCTTGTGGTATTTACAGCATGCAGCTGGCTTGGCTTCTGTGGCTTTATCTGCTAGCGCGATATGCTAGCTTTCGCAAGTGAAAAACCGCGCGTGCTAAAAGCTAGCTAGCAACATCTGGGTGATGAACAGTGCTGAGCTGGTCAGAAAGCAATCACAGCGGGTAACTTTAAATGAAAATATAGTAAATTCATATTCCAAGTTGAGCGTAAGTGTTGCACAAACTAGACCCTTTATTGGCGTTAACAAATATCATACTTTGTAAAACTCACACGTGTTTGAAACAATGGAAACCTCCAACGTACTAGAAGTGCTCATTAATCGCATTTAGGTAAATGAACTTCGTCTTTGTAATTTGTCTAGACCGCTATTTTATTCATTGCACTTTTTTTTCTATTGTCCTCTTTCCGGGTTGTAACAGTTAATTTGCTGAACCGCCAACAAAAAAGCGTTTTATGCCCAATGAAGCAACGTAGCCTCGTAGAAATGTAAAGCAGACATTGAAATGAAAACGTGTAAAACTTCATGGGTTGTTATTAAAAATTTTTTTAATAATAATACTGAGTGAAAACGGTTCAATACTGAGTAAAATGATCATGTAAAGTGAAAGTGGAATGTGTAACCAGCAGTAGTTTGGGTGTATTAGAGCAGGGCGATTATGAAGAAATTGAGCTGATTTTTTGTACAGTAGAATTTTGAAATTTACCATTTAAGTAAATGGTACAACTCGAAGGTGACGGAAACGTACTTTTTTCAGTATTATAAACAATTCTGAAATATTGGGCCATACAGTCATCCGAAACAACAGTTGAAGAAGAGTGTGCAGGCAGGAGTGTCAGGGGTGAGACCTGCTATGATGCATGGTTTGGAGATAATGGCACTGACAAAAAAACAGTTGAATATGCTAGATTGACATTGAGAATGACCTTGATGGACAGGATTAGAAATGAGTATATATGTAAAATAGGATGACTCAAGTTAAGTGATTTGGAGACAACGATAGAGAAGCAAGGTTCAGATGGTTTGGACGTGGTGAAAATACTGGACAAAGGATGTTGAATATGGAGCTGCTAGGAAGGAGGGAAACAAGGAAAACAACAGATAATTGATGAATGTAGTGAAGGAGGAAAGGCAGATTGAGGTAGGAGCAGCTGGAAGAAGATACAATGAAATAAGAAATAATGTCAGTAGTCATGTAAACTACCAGGAGTTCACAGGGTTTTCCATACTTGTTCTTTTTAATGTTATTTATGTGTTGCATGTTTTCTAGTCCCATCTAGATCTTTTAGGGTATCAGTTTGTTTGTTTGTTTTTTGTATTCAGAAATATTAATAAACATTGTTTTTATGTTTACCTCACCTGAGAGTACAGCCTCCCATTTTTCAGTGCTCTTAATATATTTTGTTTTACAGGGTGAACTGCTCTTTTTATTTTAAAATTGGTGCCTGCCGACATGGTGACCGCTGCTCCAGATTACACAATAAGCCGACATTTAGCCAGGTAAGTTGCCGATCCTCGAGTTTTATTTCTAGTATTCAAATTGATAAAAGAGCAGCACAGACCTCACAGAAATGGCAGATAAGAGTTAATAAACTGCGCACAAAATAAAAGTGTACTTTACAATCACAATTTTTGATTTTGGGATTGGCTTGATCTGCTAAATATTGTAATTTGATACCCAATGTGTATAAGTGCTCATCATCATCAACGTTTGTGCTTCAGACGATTGCCCTCCTGAACATTTACCGGAACCCCCAGAACAGCGCCCAGTCTGTGGACGGCCTGACCTGTAAGTAAAAAAAAAAAAATAGGCCATTATTATTATATATTAAAATATTACTATTATTAAAAATGTGGTCTGTGAGTGTCTGAAAAGTTATTTATTTTTTATTGACCTTTACCCATGTTGTGTCTGTTTGCCACCCGTGCTGCTGCGAGTAGACAGCAGTTGAGGTTTAAAGTGACACAATGAAGCGAAGCTTATCAAGCCCTTTCTAATGGTTTTATTTACATAGTTAATTAAAATCAATGTGTTAGCTGTACTTACAGAAACACGCCAACTGAAAAGTGTCTTCTATCTGGAATATAGCAAAAATTACACTGTGTATAGATTATTCATGTCTACATCTTAAGCACTTATTCACTGGATTTATTTATTCTGTTATTTATAACAAACTGTTGGTTAGCTGTTTTTTAATCTTATTCGACATTTGTTACATTTAAAGGTTAGCTTGGTTTAACCTGTGTTGTTTGGATCACAGACAAATTAGACATTAGAGTCTGAGGTTTACTCTGAAAGAGCGTTCTGCGTACAGGGATTTTAAGACCGATATACTGATAATGACATTTGCTGATATTAAAATCTAAAATATTTAAATATATCTGTGGATATGTTTTATTTACTTTCAAGCATATAAAGTATAAACAGATTTCCCAAACAGATGCGAGCTTTCCCTGGCTCTGCTCAGATCAGTTCCTAATTTCTTGCTCCAAGCATAGGTTGCCAGTGCCACTCATGACGCTGTTTAAGGGTGTTTCTCAAGTCTCATTTATCAGATATTTTGAATGCTAACTCACACCTATTAATTTAAAGAAATGCATTTGCACGTTAATTACGTTTACCACCTGAAAACGAGCAGTTAATGTGAACTGACCATTGATGTCATTGCAAGCAATTATTTTATGCAACTTGGTGTTTGTTGCTGAAACTGTGAATTATCTTTAACCACTAGGTACCATCAGTGACACGGAGATGCAGGAGCACTATGATGAGTTTTTTGAGGTAATTCATTCCCTTGTGAAGTATTTCTCATGTTGTGCCTCTCTGCCTCAAACCATGACCGCACCGCTTTTCCACTGGTGCATTTGTTTCTAACCGTGTTTGAGGTAATTAATGAAGATCCATTCTCAAGAACTAAAAATAAAAGATGCAAAGTTGTTGGATTGGTGTGACATCATGCAAAATATAGTTTTTGTTGGGCAATTGGATGACAACTGATGTCATTCTGATGTCTGTATGGTGAACGTCAACCAGCAGTTAGTTTGCTTAGTCTAAGATAAATACTGGATATGGGGAACAGCTTGGGTTAAAACAGCTAAATGTTGTGTTCATTGATTTGGAAAAAGATCTATTTTGGTGCTCTTTCAAAGATTTTACATGCGTATCTTAACTAACTGATAGCTGCTGTTGCACATTCACTGAACAAACAGAAGAGTGGGTTCAGATATCTTCTTCAGCTTCCCACTGAGAAAGGAGTCGTGCATATTTTCCTTTAACAGGCTCTTAACTGATTTGTTGTAGTCAATGCTCACAATGCGCACACAGTGTTGGGAAGGTTACTTTTAAAATGTATCCCACTACAGATTACAGAATACATGCCCGAAAATGTATAAATGTATTTTGTAACGTATTACGTTACGTTACTCAATGAGAGTAATGTATTCTGAATACTTTGGATTACTTAATATATTATCATGTTTTTTACAACTGCATGAATGTACTATTGCTGTGTGATTTATTACTATTACT